ATAGTTTAACAAAATGAATGTATAAAGCTGATGAATTAAGGCAGAACAAGATACATTTAAGGGATGGGTCTTCAGAAGTGCCCTTCCCACAGGGGATATCTTTGTCATCTAACCACTTCATTTTACAGCCTGAGGAAAGGGAGAGTAGGTAGTTTTGCCTTGAGAGCACATTTATCTTGTCTGGGTTTTTTAGCAGTACGGGTTGGTTGTTTCTGTCCCGCTTTGTTTCTGCTGCGGAGTCACACAGTTTGCCTGAAATAACTGCAAGAGAGAATCTTACATTTTCTTTTTAAAAAGTAGTTTCAAAAACATATGCAGTCATTTTAAAAGCATCTTACTCTTGCAGCATCCTAGGCCACAAGAAACTCATTTGGTCATCATGAAGTTATTCCAGATTTTTACAGGAAGTTATTCGGGATTTTTAGTTTTCACAGAGTAGAATCTGTTCTCTGTAACTTCAGCTTTACAGATACGATCGTGTGTAACAGGGTCCCTGTAGTTATGCAGAACAACAGACTTGGAATATGTTCTTTCTCTGACTCTGGAAATACGGCTTTTTTTTTTTAACTCAAGAGATGCTAAGCAAATTGGTCAGTATTAACAGCTAACACTTTCTATCCAATTTATGCAGAGAAGCAGTGCATGTCAATCTCATGAAGAAAACATATGACTCCTTTCAAGATGAATTAACGGATTACATTAAAGTTCAGAAAGCTAGAGGTCTGGAGCCAAAAAGACATTTAAGAAAAGGAGAAGAGATTCAAGATAAAAACACTGAGGGAGGAAATTACCTTGGTGAGGTTACATCTTCAAACTTTCAGTGTGAACAAGGCCAGCATTCCAGCCTTTTTTCAGAAACCCAGTCATCTACAAATACTGGGGAAAACAGGTCATCAAGCTGGCCATCAGCTTGTGAGCGTGCACGAGAAAAGACACCTAATTGTCACTATAACAAGGGATACTGTAAAGAAGAGCAAGCATCTGAGATGGACACCATCAGAGATAAGAGCTTCAGCCTCTCGGTTGCAGAATCTAAAGACTGTTACAAACTTATGCTTGCTGAAACTTCTACCAGCTGCTACAGAAAAGAACAGAAATTTCAGATAAAACATCTTGAGGAGGAAAAATACATCAGTGAAGAGCTGAAGTATGAGAAAGAAACCACAAAACAGAAAAGAAAGGAAAATAGTGAGGGTACATATTTTGGGAAAAAAAATGAGAAACAAAAGAGAATTAAAGTTGAGGTAGACTTGGTAAATGAGAAGAAATCAAGACCTTATAAAGACAAAATACTTAAAGGAAACCCTGCTGAGAAAGAGAGCAAAAAGCACAAAAAGGATAAAAAGACGCCACAGACAGATGGCAAAAAAGAAGAGGAGCTACTTTGGGATGAATCTGTTTTGGGATATTGATAAAAGTTTTGCTTAGCTTTAAGAAATTGATTCTGTTTGTAGACTGCCTTAACCATTTCGTCCTATATATGACTTTTGGTTTTGGGGGTTTTTTTAAGCAAAGTTTTTGTTCCAATCTGGAAGCGAGTAAAAGCCTATCTTCTGAAACTTTTGGGCAGTAGGTAGACATCAGTTCTTAATCATCTTACACATACAGCAGCTATTGCAGTGATGCAAGTTTGAAAGTCTGTAATCTCTTCTGGAATATTCCACAAATAAGGGTCATTTATCTTACAGAATACTGTTGGAATTTCATAAAAATGTGTAGCTTCTTTCTAATATTAATATTGCCTACTATTGAGGTTTCTATTATTCTTCTAGGAAAGTACCTAAACACTGCAGTGTTCCCAGCCATGTCTGTAACCATTTCTCTGACAGATTTAAAAGTAGAATGTTAAAGGTTTTCGATTCCAGATCGTACTTGCTATTAGGGTTGGGTTGGGTTTGGTTTGGTTTTTTTGTCACCCAGTTCTGAGCAGAAAATGAGTCTATTAAACATGCAGCTGGTTATCAGATATACATTGTCTAGTAGATTTTTCTCATTGTAGTCCTTATTTTTAGTTTAAATTAGGGAACACAGAAGAGGTGCAATATGCAATATTAATTGCTAACATGAGGCTACATTCTGCTTCATTCACTCAAAGTAATGTCTGGAAGGAATATTAGAATGAGGCTAGATTTGTGATCCCAACAATACCCTGAAAAATCACTAACAGCTTTGTTATTTCCATTTTAAACGTCGTGTTGTCAGACCTTCATTCTCAATATGGATTTACGTTATTGTGTCATGAGCCACTGATGTCCTCCATATGTGCAATTAATTGAGAAATTCAGATGATGGGGTTCAAGGTCTTGTAAGCCGTGGACACTGGAAATCATCAGTCTCTATAGGGCTTGGGGCTGGCAGGCTGCCCAAGAGAAAGAGGGGAATTGCATTCTCTGCCCACACAGTGCCGAGCTGCGGTTGCGTAGAGAGTTTGAAGCCCGTGTGATGTCTTACTGAAAGCTGCTGGACTGACTAAATACAGTTAAGTTCTGAAAAGGGATTGTTTAAAAGCAATTTCAGAAGATGCCACTTAGTGTCTCTCTTATTGCCTTCAGGTTGCACAAAGGCTTTGTCTGATGTGGGCTCTGAAAGCCATCAGGCTGTTGGTTTGTACCACTCAGACTGCACTTTCCACTGGGTTAGTCTGTTTGCAGAGGCACCTGTGCTGAGCTGCTGCTCTCCGTAAATCTGCCCAACTGAAACTTTCTGTTGTGGGTTGTTGTGGTGTGGGATGGAGTCGAGACCAGGGCCCTCAAGCCTTGAATTCTTGTCTGATTTGTCTCAGTTTTAGTTTTGTGGGTATAAGAAGTAGGTTGAAAAGCCCTGAAAATAATGTAGTCTGCTTTACTTTTTAAGGATTTATGTTTTATGGTTCATTGTAATCTTGGATTTAGAATTTTCCTGCTGCTGCTAAAGTTACAACTCTGAGTAGTTAGCATCTGAGCCGTCAAGTAACTCAGCCTGTCCTCTAAGAGACAAGCTTAACTAAACACATGTACAACTAAACAACGTTGAGCCGGAACATGTAGGTGCCGATAACAATTCATTGGTCAGGAGTCTCAGGAACCTGAACTCGGAGGTCAGTGGAGATTCGGCCGTAAGTTCAAAGGGTACATAGGGTCCTTGCGCTGGCCCCTTTTCCTAATCTCTCCTGGTCTTTGATGCTGATAATGCCTCTGCCTTCTTCAGTGGCTCTTTTTCGTTGCTCAGGAGGTACGTGCCTTTCTGCATCTTTCCAAGGATTCTCTCCCTGCCTTTCTTTAGCCCCTGCTTGGCTGATGAGGGAATCTAAAGTCACACATTAATAACTGTTTTTTTCATTGTGTGCTTGGGAGGAGAGCAGATTCAGTCATAACTTGCTTACACTACCTGTTGTTGACAGTTGTGAGTGGCTGTAAACTGCCAGCTGCAGGCTGTTTGCACTGTCCTACAGTGTAACTGGGGAGGTTTTTGGGTGCTCTCTCCTATATACATACTCCTTGCTGTGAGAATAACAGAGGCAACACTGCAGCTTATCTCCCATGTAAGACAAATAATGACTTTCTCTTCTCTCAGGACACCTAGTTTAGCAAACCCTGGGGCACTGTAAGATCTCTTTGATAGTTCTGCCACTCTGTCAGATGGGTCTGTACGAATATGGCCAGTGTCTTTCATGGTTGTTGGTAGGGAACCCTTGCTCTATATGGTCACGTAAGTCTTCTTTCCTTAGAGAGTCAGTCGAAGGAAACAGACCTCCAGCAGAGGGAAAGGCAGCAATGTAATATTCCACTTGTACACAAGGAACAGACTAATTGAAGGGAAATAACTGCCAATTTACTTGCTTTTGAAGTAGAGATTGGACTTTTGGAAGTCAGGAGAAGAAAATTAACAGCTCTGAAAATACGGTGAAAGCATGAGTTAGCAGAACAAAGTGATATTTTGGGTTTTTTTTCAGTGATCATTCCCAAATCTGTACTTGAACTCCATACCCTCCTCGCCCACCCACTGGAAAGTGGTTGCACAAACTATGTAGAATAGCCCTAAATAAAGTTCCTTGGAACCAAACATGAAAGATAAGATCCCAAAAGAGGTGTTCTTGCCTCATTTTGATTAAAAAATGATTAATATGTGATGTAAATGCTGCTAGATGAGAATCTGCTATGTCTCATTCACAGAAGTAGCTTACAGCTCTAATTTAGGTAAGTGATATCCAATTTCCTAAGGTCATAAATAATGGTTATTGTTCATGTGTTTCCTGACTGCCTTGTTCCTAGCCTTGCACATTTGTGCCAAATTTATCTACATGCTAGACTTTTTAAAATACTAGGCACAGAGATTGATGACTTTATTTACCCTTTACTGTAAATACATCTTTTTTCACTTCTTAGTAGCAAAGGAATCCACACTGTCTGTTACGAAAGCTAATTCTGCTCATCTGTTCCCCCCATTAAAACTACCAAAGCATTACAATTCTGATTTGAGAAACAAATCAAGTCACAGATCTTCCTGTCACATCTGAGCAGAAAGACTTGCAGATCTGCCTGGAGACCCCTTGGAGTCAGTGGTGTTTTATGCAGGTACGAGGGTTCCTCTGTGAAGGCCCAGCAGCACTAAATTTGATCTGTCTCCTCTTTCACTAAGCTTGTGTGCTGCTTGGCTTTATGAAAGAACAAAAAGGCAAGTTAAAATTGCGTACATGTAGCAGAGCACAAAAACAAGGTTAAAAGTGCTGATTAAAACTGAGCTTAAATGAAGACTCCTGCATTTCAGTTTTGGCTCTGTCTCTGGTTCACCAGGTCACCTGGATCAAATACTTAATTCTTCCAAGACCTCTTTTTCATCTACAAAAGGTGCAGAAGGGGACTCTGGCAGATTTATCCTGTCCATGCTGTGCCCTTGAAGCTGACCACTGCTGCCAGTTTGCCCACCTTTCTCCTGAAGGTTACCATCCCTGGGACATCCTTGTGTCCCTGCATCTGCTATTCTCATTCACAGGCAAAACAGAGCAGCTTAACCTCTCTATAAGGGCAACTGACACTAGAGCGAGGCGAAGCCATCCTTCTGCTGGAGCAGGAATAACAAGAAATGCCTGAAAGCATCAGAGTTGCTTGTTCAATGAACAGGTAATAGATGCTCACCTCTGAAAGCAGCTGTTGCGTTTGGTGTCCTATGAAGAGTGGCATGAATGTGCTATTTGGCAAAATACTGACACTTTTTTATAGTTTGTTTTCCTTTTTATGACTTTTTATACTTTCGTTTCATGGCTGGCTGCAGTATGTGAAAAACTTGTAGTGAGATCCTAGTGCGAGGTCTGTCTGAAAAAGGCCACAACTGAAAGGACATCTCTTTCTGCATCCTGTGAAGTGAGCAAAAACCTGTTTTCACAGTGGAAGGTTCTCATTTGAAATGTTGCGATAAAAGGGAGAACCACTGAAGTCTCCTGTCATGCCCTGAACTCGGGCTGTGGTTTCAGCGAGGCACACTGGCAACGCAAACACCTGGCAAGTTAACCCTACCGTTGACCTACGAGACACGTCCTTGTCATATCTAACCTGCTGACTTGTCCAAGCACATTTCTATAAAGATTGAGAGGCATTCAACTGAAATCAGTGTAAATCACCTGCATGCAATGCCTTGAGCTGCATCTCAAATTTAACATGCATCTGTGGAATTGGCTTACACTGTAAAACAGTTGTTTGAGCTAGTTAGAGGATTATTATAATTTAATTATTTTTTTCAGCATAGAGCTCTTGGCCAGCACTGCCATCCAGCAACACAGAAGCTGACAGTGTGCTTTATGGCTGTATTTCTCAGCCAGAGCACCAAGAAGAAAGCAGTAGGGTGAGGGCTGGGAGATTTGGATTCTTTTTCCAGCCTTTTCACAAGCTTCTCCTGTGATTTACAACTTGCCAGGAACATGGTGCCAGAGGAGTTCTTCCAGCTGCAGCTTTTTTAACCTTAACGTGTTACAGCTGCTGGTTCTTCTTCACAGCCGCTGGTGGAAATGACCTGAAGGAGGAGGTTGCAGCCCTGTCAGGTCTGCTGGTGTCTTCCCAGCTGTACCTTTTTCCTGTCCTGCTTATATTTTCGGAGTGAGGTGGTGAGCAGCTAGGCACAGCATCTTTTTAACCCCGACCTGCTGTAGCAGTTCTTGACTATACCCTTAAACTGCTGATGAGGGCAGGTATCACAAAAATGGGTCACAACAAATGAATAAATGGGAAACCATAAAGAAGTACAGTGCTGTAAGTCTTTCTGTGGGAAAGCTTTGGAGAAAGAGCGACAGCATTCCTCATCTCCCAGTGAGCTACTGTCCTTTATTTCAAAGAGCTTGATTTACAGTTGAAAGCAGAGAAGTGCTATTTCAGCCAGTTCTTGCTGGCAGAGCGAAGGTTTAGGCATTGATTCCTATTGAACTTTAAGATAAATCTCTTTT